TATTGTGGAAATACAATTAATATAATTTCGTTATATTAAGGAATTTTTTTGTCTTTTATAAGTTGGAATATATCTATGTTTTCCATATTAATTCTTTGATAAGATTATGTATATAGTAAGTAATTAAAATTTAGTCAATGATTTTTATTTGCTTCCTTTGGAAGCAAATGCGTTGCTTTGAGAAAGTAACCATGTAAACCAAATTTGCTTTTTTCCAATTAATTTTTTTTAAATAATTTAAAAATATATTGATTAATACAAATGTTTTATAAGAATTAATAGAATTTAAAATATATTGTTTTTCCACTTGAAACTCTCTAGAAGATTAATTTTTAAGATTTTGTCAGGGATTTTTGTCATGCTATTGATAAAGTAAGCGTGTCCTTCCAAACCAATTCTGAAAATGAAGTTCATTGGTTCCAAACATAGGCTTAGTGATTTCTTTAGTTTCATTATTTCCTTGAATGTCAGCGGAATCTTTACCTTTGAAGTGAATAATCTAAATTGTTAGATGCATGATTGTTAAATTTATACAAAAGTCAAGGTCTGTCAAATTTCATTTGGATTGGATCAAGTAGGTTTTTTTTTGGCTAAAAGATTGGATTAATTAGTTATTACGGTTAAACCATGGATGAGTTTTGAAGAGGAAAAATAATAAACTTGCGCTAAAAGAGGAAACAGGGGTTTTGGGAAAATTGAGATCATGCCTGAACTGTCATTAAAACTTTGATGTTTGAACAGCACTTGGGTTAGAGCCGGGACATGATGATATCCCACAAAAAGAATTGGGTGGTTATCTAAAAAATATGATGATAAATGAGCTCTGATGGTTAAGGAAACTGTTTATGCTTGAGCAGGTATTCATTGCAATATTGGTGGACAACTTCTTATATCCTATCTCTGCAATGCGTTCCCATTTTTCTCAATCCATCAATTGGTCTGGTATTCGTTACCACTTGAAAAACGGAAAGATAAGCAAGGTATGCAGCTGGCTAAGGTCTATTGCTAATATCTGTAATGTCAAAAGTTCCATTTGGTATATAAAAATATTTTCTAATTCTTAATTTTTAAATCCATGTGTTTATATATGTACTTTTTCATAAATGAACGTAAGGCCATCGTAACTGTAAAATATGCAAATATAAACAAAATAGTTTCCTAAAAACCACTGAGAATGAGATTTTAAAATTTTCTAACTCCATTGTTTTGGCTATAATGTTTTTCATTGTTAACTAATTTATGTCATTTTGTGAATGACATACAATATAGATTTAGATAATGAAAGCTAAAAAATATTCTCATGTACTAAACAGATTACTAAAATACTTTCTGGTTTTTATTTTCTAAGTTTATATGTATTTTTTTGCAAAATTTCATTCATTTCATTAATTATATAGTAAATGCATATAAAGTAACTTAGTATATATTTATGCATGTATTCTTTTATAAAAATATGTAAGATTATGTGTATTTGTGGAATAATCAAGCATAAAAAAATTGGTTTTCCAGAAATACTAAAAACAACATAATTCTATTATCTTTTTAGCCATCGCTCTCTTCATTTTTAATAAATTTATATTTTTTTATACACAAAAAATATATAAAGAAACCAAAAATTAAAAAGATGTTTTTATGTACCAAGTGGAATCTTAGTTTCTCTTTGCAGAATACTGTCTTTTGATGTATGCTATTGTTTATTTTGTGCTGTAAGAACTTCAAAGTTGGGTGAATATTCTATCCCCCAAATGTTGTTGAGTTTCTTAGTAGTTATTTGACCTATTATGCAGATTGAAAGAAGCAAGGATAAAGGTCCAAAATTTACAGACCTGGGAGGAAAACATATATATGGTAAGAAAGGAGTTCCTCCCAAGGTCTCATTCATCAGCTCCTTGGCCAGAAATTTAGCTCAATGGCATCAGCCCAAGAAATTTGATGTATAGGAAGTTTAGAGATCGTGATATTGATCAATTTTCGACTACTCTTAGGTTTGATGGGCAGCAGAAGTTTCTGAAGCAGAAATGCTTGCTTCTGGATTTTTTTGGTCACCATAAATCCCTTGGCAATTCCATTTTGATTGATTCTAGTGATTTAGTAATTGTTTTCTTATTTTTTCCACCCCATTCATCCAAATTTATTCTTCTTTGGTCAACCCAAGTTATCCGGGCTGATTTTTTAATATCTTATTATTCAATTTGACGGATGCTTGTGTAGTTGAATTCAGAAGTTACTGTTTTTGTGCTGTTATTGTAACATTAATGCATATCTCAGTTTTTTTCCCCCTTGGGAGTCTCCTTGATTCTGTACAAGTGGGACAGTTTGCGAGGTGTTATTGTGGCATTTGTGATTTTCCGAAATGAATTGGGATGATGGTGTTGAATTGATTGGTTGTCTGCTATAGGGGCCCAAAAGGAGGATAAGAAGCTAGGTAAATGAAGGTTAGGCTTTTCATAATTGATTTGTCGGTGAATTATATGAAAATATATAATTTGATTATTTGAAATCGTATAAAAACATAATTTGGTCGTTTTGACTATAAGAAAAAATAACAGATTTAAATTTTATTATAAATGTCCATTACATTCTTATATATTTTATCCTATATTGACAAAAATCATTACGTTTGCCACCCATACGCCATCCAACTGCTCATCAAATGCAGCTCGTATGATTGTCTTCTCCATTATTCTCAAGCAAATTTGTGAAAAATCTATTGAACTAATCTTCAAGCTGTGCGAGGGCCAAAAGTGCCCAAATTTTTTAATTCAAGGGTAGCATTTGATGAGCTAACCTTTCAATGGAGGTACATTGAGAAAAAAAAAAAAGAAAAAAAAAATCAAGAGAGAAGAAACAGAACCAGAGATTCCATAGAAGCAACAAAATCCTATTTTCCAAAGGTACCATATATTAGGGGATAACAGAACAGCCAAGATGCAAATGCAATCTCTTAAAATTCCAGGAGCGAGTTAGAGCACGAAATAGAGTGGTTTTTTCAAAAAGATAAACAACCAGGCCATTAAAATACAGGTGTAGTGCTTTCAGTTGATTGAATCTCTATCGACCATAGAGCCATCCATAGCAGAAGCATAATCGATTCTCTTCTCTTATCCTTCCATAATATATGCTGTTGATGATAACTTGTTACCTAAGAAATCTATCCTGACATGTATTTCGTGACTTTTGATAAAGATTTTAAACACCTCCTGATAACACAAATTGACTCTGAAAATAACTCAGAATCTTCACTGAAACTCTATTCAAAATATTGCTAAAAACCTAATGCAGCTTTTAAAGCTATTTCCTTGTAAACGCCTGGTTCTCATATTTTCCTTCATGATAATCATTATCAACTTACTTGTGCTCCCTTTTTAGACAAATTATTTGATCACAACATGCTCTTTGAGGAGTCTTACAGCACAAAACTTCCCAATAGCTTAGACAGGTTTTACAGGAGACCTGAGAGCCCCGAAATAAAATTACTATATCACTTCCCCTTCTAACTACTAAAATATAGGCTAATGTCTTAACAAATTTCTTTTTTTTGAAATAAAAAGTGAAGTATATATTAATATGGTACCAAAAAAAGGTATTGCCCATTTACAAGAACTAATGTCTTAGCAAATGTGGTTACAAATATTTTAGAGATAGTCAGGAACCACCAAAATGGAGCACTATCTTACGACAGGGAATAAAGTTGCCGCGGACCAGTTTTTTTGGGGGGGTGGGGGAAGGGGATCTCATCTTTATGTAAAAAAAGATTCAGTGCCTAAAGATTTAGGATACGAATCTCTTACATAAATATACACGTATGTATATATAGATATGCAACTAATTTTGCAGATCTACATTAAACATTAAAAGCCTTAACTCAAGAACACATTAAAATGTAAATTTGCAAATAAATTCCATGTATCTATAAGACTGTCTCAAACAAATGAATGCCAAAAAAGAATGTGAAATTAATCAGCAAATCTATATGTTTCTATATTTTATAAACATAAAAATCTAGATTTACGTATGAATTTCACATTATTTTGTGGGAGTCATTTATTCCAGACAGTACAAGCTTTTTAAGAATAAACAATTGTTGGGTCTGAATGGAAAAACATAAGCCAAGTAAAGAAGTAATGCTACATCGAATAAGAAAAGCCAACACAAAATAAATGTTGTTTGTTAACTTTTTACTACTCGAAAGTCATTATAATCTTACTGCTTCAGCTCTCCAATGCAGAAGTCATCGATCATGTCAAAAACACGGGTTGCATGCTGTGGCCTGCCAGAGAGAACATGTCCAGAAAATAAAAAATTAAGCAATCCTCAATGGCAAATAACAAAAGATAAACAGACTTGTCTTAATTTAATAGTAGTAAGTCTTCAAAAGGAAAGGAAAATGAGGAAATAAATATTTTGCCACAAGATTTTCTCAGCTTGTCTTCCAGTAGGATGATTATCCTACTCAATTGTCAATGAGATATTGAAGTATCTACATCCCATAGCCACACCCAAGCCCATATGTAAGGGATATTGAGATAAGATGAAACCATAAAAATAAGAAAGCTTGATCTGTTGATTCTAAGAAAGAGGGATGATGATTCTTCCATGTTTCTCTCAAAGGGGCACAAAAAGAATAACAGAACTGCAAGTCTCAACTATATGTTGCTTCCATTTGCAGCATTGATAGGGAGGTGAAAAAGACGAATTCTCTCTTCATGCTAGTTGTTGGAAATGGAAAAATAAATTGAGGTAGCAGTTGAGAGATTGATACCCATAAAACCCTTCAGTTGAATCATCCCCAGCATGATTTAGAATGGCGTCACCACCAGGGTGTTCCTCCACATATGAGGTAACATCATACACCTGTAGTTAAATTTAAATCAGTGAGGAAGGAAGAAGGGTAAGAGAATTTTGCTAAAGAGCAAAGATATAAACACCTTCAGAGGTAATAGGATTCAAATGAAGCAAAAAAAGGCAAAGTAGGAGATGTTACCCTGTCCTTGATGATTATCCAACAATCTGTTCTCTTATTATGCAGAGCTACTTCTGCTTTAGTGTATACTTTTGATTCCTGAGGGCAAAAGAAAACATTTTAGAAGGATTCAGGAGCTAAAAGTCAGATAATTCTCATATATATATATATATACATATCATAAAAGCTGTGCATATTGTGTTTGGATACAAAAATGAAAAGATGAAGCTATCGTTGTCTAGTTGATCACCTAAATATTTGATCTGGAGAATTTCTTCTCTTCTCATAACAGCTACTCAAAAGAAAGTAAACAGAACGATAAAACCACAACCACATTACAAGGAACCAGAAAGTAAAACGATCATGGTCCCTGATTCCCCCTAAGCATTCTCATGTGCATACTGCACAAAACCATGACTATATATATAGTGGTAAGGATCATTTAGAAGGTTAGATTTTAATTAGCTAAACACTAAGAATACTAAACACAAGTAAAGACATCTTCTTCTCTCTAAAACCCCAAGTTTAGGGATCATAGACAATAATCATCTGATGTATAAGGATAGCTTCTGCTCTAACATATTAATGTTCCACTAAACTGTAAACTATGTCCAGCAGCAGTTAAGAATCTCAGCAGCACTATAACTTGCTGCACGTAAGAATGTTCAATCCTCGGCCAACCATTCTTGAAGTGTGTTCATGACTTCAAACATGATAAGCTTGATCTCAATTTCGAATTTCTCCGCCAGCTAAAAGATAATGACTTTTTCCACGTGTTTCATTTATACAAATAACAGTGGGCAAAAGAATCAGAACTACCAAACTAAATTACAATATAAGGAAAACTAGGCTTCTTACCCACCACCTCCCTCTTCCCCCCACCACCACCTACTTTGATGTATTAATTTGCATATTCAGGAGGGATAATATAAATCCTTTCGATGAATTTGGATAAAAACGTTTTTCTAGTTTGATTAATTAATCATTTAATAGATTCTCTCAACAAGCAATCACTGAAGTGGCCGGTGTTATGCAAATATAGCAGTTAAAAATAAGCCTATCAGAAATATCAAGAACAGCAAACAATGGCGAGTTCTTTCAGAGTTGAAAACTACCACAAGTACCTTACTATTGTTACTAACATTTGACTGGATCTTTTTTGCATGACCTGCATAGAATATGATCTCATTAATCATATTATACAAAATATACATTATGATTAAATGGATTAACCCAAAACCTTTAGAAAGAAAATCAAAGACTTTAAAAATAAGCAGATTTACCGTGTCGCGGGATCAAAATAAAAGCCGCCAAGAAGACACCCAAAATCAATACCGCCACAGCTATAATCATATCTCAAATCCAGCTCCTAGTAGTTGCTCAAGCTGATTTAACCAAGAATAATCAAGAAATTCAAAAAATGCCCATTAAATAATTTACTAGATGTTGAAAATGTTGAATGAAAACATAGAAAGGGTGCATTTAAGCGCAATGATTGGCAATAAGAGAAAATGAGAGAGATGGAGCAGCAGAAACGGAATTTGAGAGAAGTGACCTGTTAAGGTAGAAAAGCGTGAGAGTATAGTGACGTTTAGGCGAAGATTGCGGCGGAGAGAGCTTTGTATCAAATTCGCCGGCGTGATCTTGATTCCTCACTGCGAATTGCTATGGAGCTATGGCGGACTGTCACTGCTCACGAATTTTTTATTGATATAATTTGGATTTTAAATTAATGGTAATTGAAAATGAGTAACAGTCTAATTTACCCCATCTCGTACTTGCTTCTATGTTCTCTTTGATACTCCTGAATTACCTTTTTTAAAACAAAAAGATTGTTAGCTTTTTAATTTATTGTAATTATTTTAATTAAAAAAAATTAATTATTATATAATATTTTTTAAATCAGAATAGTAATAGTTAATTTTAAAATTTAACTTAATGATTGTACAAATCTATTAAATAAAATATTATGATTAATCATTAACGATCTATAATATACTTAAAAAGTAGTAGAGTTTTGTATTACTAATATGTTCAAGTTTATAATTTTTAAATAAAATACTAAAATTTTAAATATTAAACTATTAAATTGATAATTCATATCATATAAAGTTAACAATAAAAAAAAATTTATTTAGATATTTAAATTTTTGAATTACATATGTTTTTTTTTTGGACTATGAAACTTAAGTTTGATTCAAATATTTTAATACATTTCACTAATGTAGAAAAATATAAAATTTAAACTCAAATTTACATTTTTATAAAAATAAGTAAAAGTATTTATTATGATTTTATATTAAATTTTGTAGTCGATTTTATTTTGTTACTGTAACACCCAAATAAATAAATAAAATTTTTTATTTATTTATTTTATTTATTTATTTGATTTTTTAATTTAATTTAATTTACTTTAATTCAATGAAAATAAAAATAATTATAATGATAAAATTGAGTAAAAATATTATTTGGATTTAATTGAAATTGATTTTGGAAAAAATTGGTGAAAATTTGGATTCTAGGATATTTTTGAAAAGAAAATCGGAAACCGGGAGGTCAAAACGTAATTTAGAAAAGTTGTGTCACGTCAGCAGCCATGTCAGCGGCCCCGTCAGCAGTCCCGGCCAACCAGGACGCGCCGCGTGGCAAGGACATGCTGACCAGGGGACGGGCCACGGGGGCGATCCGCGTGCGCACGATCGGACGGCCCAGATCCGTTCCCGCGCGCACGGACGGCCCAGATCAACCGTGCGCACGGACGGCCCAGATTCACGCGCACGGACAGCCCAGATTCAATCAGGCACGGACGGCCTAGATTGCATCGCGATGAACAGTCCAGATTTAATCCCAATTAAATCGCGATCGAACGGCCCAGATTCAATCTTGATGGACGGTCAAGATTAAAAGGCAAATGGTATAAATACCCCCACCCACACCTGACCAAAGAAACCCTAGCCGACAGTGCTCGTCGGAGAAGAAGAACCAGACGCCGGAGGAGCCGGCCGCCGCCACCCGCCGTCGCACCGGGGAAGTTTTCGACTGCTGATCGAGGTAATTTTTCTCTCCTTTGCTCGTTTTTCGACGCTGAGTCCGCCTATGGCCAAACCGGAGCCAAACTACCGGCCAAACGGCCGGAAAACTCAGCCGAAACCCAGCGGCCCCGCCACGCCCTTTTTCGGTTTTTGCCTCCGAAGAGGCCCTTCCCAGCCTCTGTTTGATGCAAATTTTATAACACTGTGATCACCGTTATTTTCTTTACAGGTTGATCGGAGCCAAACATCAAAA